GGCACTTCAACTACAATCCCGAACTTCCTGACTAATACGTTCTGAATTCTTGTCATCAGTTCTTATTCTGCGGCAGGGAACACGGGGTACATCATCAACAACTGAAACCCCCGCAGCTAAAGCATCGGAACCCATTTCTTCAATGTCTTCGATTTCGGAGTACCTTCCCCCACTCTTTCTTGCGTGATATAAAAACACTGCTTGACTTTGAGATCATTCTGAAAACCCCACAGCATTATCGCACGGGAATCACAAAGCGATGGGGGTGGGATGCATGGTGTGTCATTCACAGCTGGATCAGCTGCCTTCCCACGCAACCGTAGTTTTGAGGATTCGAGTCTCATCTCCTGCATCACAAATCATGGATTAAATAATAAAAAATTGGGTCATTGAAATAACAAACGGAGAAATGTTTTAAAAAATTACGAAATAGCTGGATTGAAAAGTTTGACGCGTTCAAAGTAATTTTGTTAGAAAAAGACATGTTTTTTTATCTGACAAGTTTCCACGCCGTAATTTACGCAATGATGGTAACTGGGCCAAAAATGAGACTGATCAGGAGTCTGATAAATTTTGTGGCGCGTGCATTGGTCATGGGTAAAATATTACCCCGGAAAATCGCCCCCTGATAAGCCAACATTCTTGGCAATTGCCATTTCATTTTGAAAAACAAACCTTCGCTGACAATGTAAACACTGGAAATCCCGGTTAAAACGTCATCCGCCAAAATTAATGAGAACTCACATATGATCTTGAGAATTAATTTCGTATTTCGATACCCCGCCAACATGATTCAAGTTTCTATAAGAGGCCTCCATTGAAAAAACAGACACACGCGAAGATGCCATAGTTTAAATCTCGGGATCGATCGCTAGTTATAATTTACATATCCCACAATTATTTGATCCAAATTTTAAAAATACATTTTCATAAATATGAAAAATATCCCCATTTCCTTGATCTAGAAGCGTCGGAAACAAAATCGACTAAGTCAAATTGGAGGCCCTGATACAAAGTAGACTTACAGATCGTTCGGATGATCCTTTAAACAAGCACAGGTTAACAATTTCAAACAAAATATAATTTACAAAATCAAAGCAAGACTCGCCACTTGTCACAACTGAAAATCATAGATGCACATCAAAACCCCGCGAAGATCTTTCTCCAGGAATAATCACAGGAAGTGGAACACGGCGAAATCCGTAAACTACCGTATCAAAAACTTCGCTTATCACAACATTATCCTCAGTCGACAACATACTGTACTGTAAAGAAAAGGGCAATAGGGAAGATTTAAATTATTCATGCGAATTCCAAAAAATACCAGGAAAAAGGGAGATCAAGCGGTAAGACTAATGAATTCAAATTTATCGTTTGGACACAATACTTACGATCTTGATCCGAACGAGCTTATGCCTCCAAGCAGTCCAAGGTAATCTTCAAAACTGTCCAGCTAATGCCATTGACACTGTATTTCCAATTTTCCGGTAAAAAAAAATACTATTGAGCATTTGGAAACTTTACAGTGGCCAGAAGGCAATGGTATCCCAAACACCAATGCTTTAAAAGAACTGACCGTGCATGAAGGGGCCCATAAAAAAGACAGGTACACATGCAAGTCATAGTTTTGTGCTGAATTTTGCATTAGTATATACAGTACCTTACTAATGTACTTGAAGTAAGTAAAATGATGTAATAAATGACAAAAGCAAGAACATTCAATCATTGCGTAATTCTCCGATTTTGAGAAAACATTTTAAATTGACCGCAATCTAAGACTTCTGGGGTAAATTTGCTGTACCGCAGTTCAAGTATCGAAAATACTGTACTATGCTTTATTCGTACACGAGCAAAGGAAACAATTCGATTATTGTATTGTTCTTCCTTTAATGTTTTTCGGCGCATGAAAAACATAATTTAGAACTACTGTACCTGTGTGACAAAAGAAATTTTGTAGCCAATAATGAATACGGTTTTCTCCAACAGCATACAGTAGAAGGGGAAGATATTTCCAGTAGAATTTTATGACACCAATGGGGGTTGGCAATAAGTTCAGGTTTGACTGCATATCATACATGTCATGGAGCCCTGGAAGCTTTTGGCAGAAAATATGAAGTTTCAAGAAATTGTACATGCTTTATAGGTGACTTCGTGCAACAAAATTCTGATGGATTCTTGAAAAAAAAACGAGCTTGCAATTGAACTAATATTCACACGCATACATAAGTAAATCTTGCTGTTCTGAATTTTTTCTGATTCTTCGATGAGGCAACAAAGACGTGCGAATTTCTCTATGAAAAAAAACGCGCGGGTAATACGGCTTGCAGCATTTCCAAGATTTTAATTTGAGAAGATGTGGAGTTTTTTTTTCGACGAACAGGCTCAAGTAGCACATGTAGCGATCACGAATTCTTCGAAGTAATAGCACATTTTAACCAAAAAGAAAGGTAAGCGGTTCAAGCGGCGGTATCCTTATCACATATTTCAATCAATGACATACGCCACAATAAGAGATGAATTCAAGTAGTGACTCACCACAACTCTTTGTTCCAACACTACAAAACGGCGGAAGTTGTCGACAAAATTCCGCACATGAGCACACGCGGGTATTTCGCATTCTAAATTTCTGAAATAAAAAATCAGCATAAATCGAGACACTCCATGTATTTTTTTAAATTGAAAACCGTAGATCCAGTAATCTTCATCAAGCCACAGTTAAATCACCGGTCTCACCATTTTTGTTCAGCAAGTTCGAGTGTAGCAACTTTCTCGTCTGCTAAGACAGGGAAAATTCACCCTCAGATGAAGGCACTCAATTTTCTATCAAAAATGTAATTGAGGCCGA